GGGCCTGCATCATTTTGGAAAGGCCTGGAAGGCCCTGGAACGTCTTGCTGCTCGACCTGTATTTCCCTCAACCAACTGGTGCGTCAAAACAGTCTGGACCTCAAATACAAAATTGACAGCTGAGGGCCACTCTTGATTTTGTTAGGCCCGCCTTCACTTAGGGTGGGCACATTCGCAACAGGGCCCCTTAGGCCTGCCGAGGACAAAGATCCTCGCACTTTCTTTCTTGTTCTTTTTTTTTTTTTTTGGGTGTGTGATATGTGTATGCTTTAGGGAATATCTGTATTCAGTTTCGACGTATTTGGACCAGTCACCAGTGACAAAAAAGTTGCTTCGGAGAAAATTTGGCGAACTCCAAAACCTACTCCAAATATGGTTTTAGAGTGCTTTTGAGTTTGTTTTTTGAACTTTTTTACATTTTTCTTTGCGTGCTTGTTTTTCTTAATGTTTGTATTATGAGCCTGCATTGTTTGTTCGCAAAATTTTCAACGACATTGCTTGTGGTGATGCGGCCAAAAAACCCAAATTTTGGGCCTTCCATTAACCATCTCTCGAGATCTCGAGAGAGAGAAACGGTTAATGGAAGGGCCAAAATTCAGGGTTTTGGGCCGCATCACCACAATCAATGTCGCAAGTTGTTTCTGCTGGGTTTTGAAACCAAGGAACCCGTTTAGCATTCTAGGCTACTCCATGTCGTTGTAAGCCGGCGTAGGGTACACGGTACTACTTGAGAAGACACAGGAGTGCGACTCGAGTTTGCAGCTCAACTAGAACCCCTTTGACATTCCAAACTTAGAGCAAACAAGGAACACATTTTGCCAGCCTGCATGTTTCGCAGAGAAGCTGGTGTACTTTCAGTGCTGCCTTTTCTACCCAGGTGAGCATATTCTGGGAAGCCCTCCTCATATATTGCGTAGTGAAGAATTCATTGATTTCCACTGTACTTATGTCCCAACCACGTGTGTGACTGACCTCAGCAACTGAGCACGAGCATCAAATTGATTGAATCCCTCCGTGATTCTTACACTGGTACCGGGACGCATTTCCATGAGGAAGTTCAGCTACATCATCACCCTCGTGCCAACGCACCACATCAGCCAGATGTCATTTGCTATGTCAGCAACACATCAGTCCTGCATCGATAACCTACCTTGAGTTGGGCGTCATGTGACAGTCAACACCATGCACAGGGCTGAGGTGAGAGAGGCATGTGACACAGTGCCTAGGCGACGAGGCAACATAGCAGTGCGAAGCTATTAATAGCCTATGACTGAAACCCACACATGATAGATGAGGCAGACAAGAAGAAGCAAGCGGTGACCAACTTCCAGCACGTTTTTGAACAGACAAACACTCCGCAGGTGGATGCACTGCAGGCGGTGACTGATTATGCAATACGCAAAGCAGAATGATATAACTTCACTGCAGGCTACTGCTCCTTATCTAATCGAGCTGATGAAGAGCCTGGTGAATGTCGTGTCGAAGCTCCCTTGTCCATCATACACCCAACAGCCATCTACACCCCTGCAGAAGGATGAGCTGCAGGTGGTAACTGTTCTGCAATCCACCCAGCAGGATGGTATATACGCTCTGCCAACAAGCTGCCTCCCACCTAATTGACCAGATGAAGAGCCTGGTGATGCCATGTAAGAGCTACACTCTGCCCAACACCCAACAGCCAACCAGTCAAAGGACCCTCTATCCCAAAACGCAATTCCAAGTATGCAGAAAACAGGCCCCTTTTTTGTTAAACCCAAAGACTGCAACTGGTTACGTATACATTATTCCGCGAGTGATGAGTTAACCCGGCCGGCGTACCCATACGCCGGAAAAATTCATGTTAAAAAAAAAAAAAAAAGTGATAGCAGAAGAGAAAACAATCTTTACCACAGAGCGATTCATGGTGTTGTCTCCAACCACAGCCACTAGAATACACCAGATGAAAACACAGCTCAAATGAGACCACGAGCACTCCAAACTTTTGGCAAACACTGGCTCATTTACCACCTTCCTGCTCAAGCAGGTTCTCTATCTCTCTCTCTCTCTCTCTCTCTCTCTCTCTCTCTCTCTCTCTCTCTCTCTCCATCTCTCTCTCTCTCTCTCAGCACCATTCCTCACCGCTAGCCTCCTTCATGTGTCCTATGCTAAGTGAATCTCCACTTAGCCCCTACACCATTTGCAGCAGATCCGAGATAACAGTAGAGCCTTCCACCATGGCGTGCAGAAAGAACAGCTCGAGTATACTTGGCACTCAACCAGGAGATGCCTACCTTCTTCCCCCAAATACAATGCACAGTAACTATAGCTGTATTTAGACTGAAAGATACCCCAAAACAGCTATAATGACAGTATGCTGTATTCACGGGAAGAAGGTAGTGCAAGCTCCACTTACCCCCTACACCCTTTTCAGAAGATCGAAGATCGTGCTGGAGCCTTCCACCATCGTCTCCAGAAAGAGCAGTTCAAGTTTACTTGGCATTCAACCTGGAAAAAACTAAGCTTGTGCGGAGTTGCTAGCTCTGGCTTGAATTCCTAAGCACAAACTGAAGCAGCCTCACTGCATGTGCCGAAGCATGTTGGGAATGAAAAATGTGTCACCGTGTCATGGAAGGGAGAGAACAAGCACGGAATGGAAAGTGGAATGCAATAAGATCTGGCGCTAAGCCCTGCACTTATTGGCTAAGGAATTGCTGCTAAGTGTCAGAAGCCAGTGGCCCACCAGGAGTACACATCACGAAGGTTTAGGTCCAGGACGTCCAAGGCTCACTCGCAAATGCAGACAACTCCCTTTGCTCTGTTTGCATCGGTACCACCGAGTCAAATCCATCGGGGCGACATTCGGGCAGGGTCCCTGGGAGTCCCAGTATTAACAACAACATAATAATAAATAAAAAAAATCCGGAATATTGCAATCACACTCCGATTATTCAACTTGTCATGTATGCAAACAGCGAAACAGCAAATTGGCGACAGGCGCCCACACAGTACTTCAAGATATCGTATCCACATAAGAGTTCTCTTCAAACTGGCTATGGCGACTGAGCGCCTACACAACTCACTGTTCGCACTCTGGATCACCCTGGATGTCCCACACGCAACACTCAGWATCACACTTCACACACACACATGCTAGGCTACAGCTATGGCAGCGCTAGCTGCCACTACCTATCGCTGCACTCCACTCCTCTGCCCACTTCGTCTTCGGGCACTCTGCAGACCTCCTCGCACAAGCTGCTAGACAGCGCTTCCGCATGGCATCCACAGGAATGAATGTCCTTGGCTGGACGCAGCCTCTTGATTTATACTTCTGCGCTGCGTTGGTTTGCCCTGTATCCCTGGCCCATGGTGCACACAGTCCCCCCCGTGGTACTTGCTGGACCGGACTGGTAGTTTCTAGACTCCCCCTTGACTGTACGACGACGACCCTGCTTTAGTCCTGCACCACTTGACCACTTGCCTGCACCACTTGACCACTTGCCTCGACCTAACAGGGGCTGACTCCGAAAGGCCACTTCTAGAACTCTCTAAGTTGGCCTTTCGGTACTGTAGCAGCTACGACTTTGCCCTTTCAGGTAAGTAGCARCTACGACCTTGACTCTTCAGGCAGTCTTCAGCTACAACTCCGGAACTGTCTAGACTTCTACCCTACAGGTCTACAGTTCGATTCCCTTCTATCCTGTGCCCTACGACAATCTACCTACCACTGGCGGTTCTACAGGTCGCAGGTTCAACTCTTCGAGTTGACGCAGGGATTATACACAGGTAAGTTGGGGAACTAGGGATCAAGCCCTGGGATCTGCCTCAGCTACCACGAATTGGTGAATACCGTTTCAATATAAAATATTAGAATAATAAAATATGTTTTGTAAAACTGCAATTCAAACAGCTTTTCACTGAGGGTCTCCTTGGAACACTTGCTGATTTATAGATAAAAATAATTCCGACTAGAAATGTTTCTACTCTATTTTTTCCAGCGGCAGATAGCTGGGCCAAGTACTGGTGGTTTAAGATATACCTTATTAAACCCCTTCAAACCGTGTTTATACATCCCAACCCCCCCGAGCTCAACACATCGCCAAATTGGAAGGTAAGGCTGGATTCTGACTGCTCAAGCCACATCCAATCCTGGCCTGAACTCAGAATGTTTTTTCCTTCCTTGCCCTTTTTTTTCCCCACCCGGTTTCCTCGGTGAACTGCCCGCTGCATGCCCGGCACAGGCAACTGCCCAACACTGCTCTTATTTACTTTCAGATCCCTTGAATCTGCAGAACACCGGCTTTAATTGGAATTGCAAAAGAAGGAAGGCTGATCAGAGAACAGGACGACAACACTATTTTCCGCAGAATAACCAAAATTTTCCACAAAATTGCAAACACATCCCTTCATAGTTTACATTATCAACACAAAGTTACAAACGTTAGACCATTGACAGGAAAGCCATGCCAGGTCTAACGTTGATGCTGTTCCCAACAGAATGATGTTG